CATGCCCCCCTGAATTTAATCCTAATTTGATGTTTTGCCGTTAGGTTGGATCTCTGCTCTTTGTGTAGCCTAATTCAAATAGTATTTGGTCTTCAAGACTTTTGGATTTCTTCTCTGGATGTAAACAAATTGATCGTGGACTTTAACGAACGGAACTACAAGATCACCGTGCGAACAACTCTGTCTAGTTATCCGTACAACATTGTACGCACAATTGCTACACAATTGTACGAATAATTACTACAGTTATCCGTAGTATGCCTACATGCCCACAGGCCTAGATGTTCTGTCTAAAAATCTAGATCTAGATCTAGATATCTAGATTCTAGACTCTAGATCTAGATCTAGATCAGTGTTTCCAATAGTGGTCTAGATCTAGATCTAGGCTTATTTTTACCAACCTCCAAAATTCGAGACAGTGCTGTAAAAATATTTTTAAGCTTAATAAATCTAATATATCTAGATCTACCTCATTCCGTTGATAGTTCTGATGGCCGAAATGACAGCGTGTCTGCGTTTGAAGAAGTATTAATTATTATGAGTGTGACCCAGGTTCGAATCCCGGTCCCCGGGAGGTTTTTTTTGGTTTTTTTGTTCCTAATTCTTCTCTCTCCTCTCCCGACTGACCAACAATTTCTTTCCCATCACTGTTTGTTTTGACTTCAAAGATTTCCACTCATGGTTTTGTGTAAAAACAAAGAAACATAATAATAGATTCTAGTCATAACAATAGATCTCTAGATCTAGATCTAGATCTAGCCTACTTTTCCTTTTAGGCCCTACCAATTTTGGCCTTGTTAAAGTTTTATTGATGCTCAACCCAGGGGAGAACAAACTGGACGACTAGATAGAGTGATCTCTAGGCTTATTTTTACCACTATTGTACCAGTAACCGCAGCCTTTTTTTTAATGAAACTGGTTTGTTCTTAGATTCTAAATGGGAAAAGTTGTCACGCTAACTTAACTAAAATATACACGAAAATTTCATGACCTCTTGTTCTTTTTTTCACTGAAGGAGAATCAAAACAGATTTGTTCTTACTGGTAGGGGTATGAAGTTGAATGTGCCAAGTACCCCCCCCCCCCTTTTTTTTTACCCCCCCCCCCCCCCCCCCCGGCCCTGTTTTTTATTTTGGGCCCACTTTTGCCTCACCCCCCCCCCCCCAAAACCGCTCTCATTTATTCGATACCTTATTAAGTGTATTGAAAGACTAGATCACATTTTTCCTTCTAGTTAAATGGGAAAAAAAAGAAATCAATCGGACAATATAGATACATATTATTTTACTTTCAGTACTGCCTCATGCTCAGGTACAGTGTATTGTACATGTATAGCCTTTTAATTTCTTGTTCATTTTTATTCGTTTTACACGAATATTGGCTTATAAATATTTTTTGCAAATCAACAGTGAAATACTTGATGGTCTTTATTAAAAATAGATCTGATCTTATATCTTATTATCCAAAGCATGCTTTGTAATTTCCTGGCTTTGGCCAGAGAGGTGGGGGGGGGGGGGGGGCATTCCCACTGAGGTAAAAAAAAAAAACACTCTGGGGGATTATAGGAAGGCATGGCATTGCTCCCTGTTTTTTGTTTAGTTTTGGTAAGTGTTTTACGGTGCTCGCAACTGCATTGAGTCATGAGCGTGCGGGACATATTGAACATTTTTACACACTTTTCCGATCACATATCAAATTAGAGCGTTCAAATGAAGCATAGAAAAATGTATTCAACATAGTCAAATCAAATTCAACATAGAAAGTTCAAACATCAAAATAGACCGAGAGAGGTGAAATTATGTAACCCTAGGAAACTCAAATATCAAAATATTATATAGTATAGCACTATCAATTGTAACAATTGATGTTGCATCCAGGGATGTCAGCCCTTTTGGAGATCACCATGTATTCCACAACGCTGTACTCACTTCATAACTCTAAGAGCACAGACATAGAAATAATATATAAGCTACACCAGTGAAGAGAAGACCGTATGGCAGCCTTGATGATTCCAAAGATCTAAAGCGGACTGTACAGTTTATGCACACCACTGAATAGACTGACTGACTGACTCACTGTCATCAAAAACGAAGAAGATGAGGAAGAAGTATGTAAAATTGAAGCATTGCGAATGCAAAAAAAATATATCATTTTTAATATTATTGACTTTCCACATTTTGGATGATTGCTCTGAAAACTATCACGATAGACAATCATGATAATGAGTGCGTTAGTAATGCACGTGTTTTCTACTGCCTCTCACCATCACGTCTTCCTCACTTGATAATGCCCTGTGTGACACGGTTTTTAAGTTATTGCGCTGAACTCCACATCTCCATAATATGTCTTCGGATATTATTTACAAAAGTTATTGCTCGAATTTCAAAAGGTCATATTGTGATTTGACCCGCTGTTTTTGTTGGATTTTCAGATGTTACAAAAGTGAGGGACAAAATCAACCATTTGAAAGAAAAGTACAAAACGGAGCTCAAAAAGGTTGCAGAAAGTCGTGACGATTAATACAATCCGACCTGGAAGAACTACAAGAGTCTTGATGACTTTTTAAAATGTATTCCTCTCGAATCAATGGTAAGTGTTTCTTTGCTGTGCCATTATAAATTTCCTCCCCCGAGTCTCTTTGATATTGTTCAGGTGTTGGGGAAAAAATCAACAGCATGGGATCTTTCTTCAAGCCATTTCGTTTTACTTCAATTTTCCCGGGCTTCTCAGTTGTTTTCATCATTTTGGTGGCCCATGGAAAAATCTTCTTGAAAAAAGCAGGGATATCCAGAGCCCCTCTTCATCACCTATTTTAATTTTGGCGACAACTTTGTCCATTATACCACGGTCATAATTTAGTCACCACACCTTCCATGGCAATAGTTCTTGTCTCGCTTTGAACTGACAGTATAGAGAGTGTACTGCAGTGGTGTCTGCCCAACAGTAACAGCAGCCCCCATGGGTTTCAAGTATTGGTAGCTGATAGTATAGACAGACGTTGCTGCTAACTGAATTTTCAAAAAAAGGGGGGGGGGAGACTCTACTTAGAAAATAATGACAACCCTACGCCCCCCCCCCCCCCCCCCCCCCACACACACACACACACTCTTATGCCCATTCCAGTTGCACGATGTGGTAATGCTGTCAGAAAGTGAGAACATAATTTAACATTTTTAGTGAGGTAGGAATTGATTTTGAATTTGCCCGGGTGGCGGCCGAAGCCTACTCTTATCGATTTTGGACCATCAAGGGATCTTTAATGTGTACAACTTGCGCAGTGGACGTTGTAGATTTTTAGCCCTTCTTCTAGAAGGCTAGGTGTTAGATCTTACCTACCAGAAGATCAGAGGTGTGGCTAAAAGACAGCAGTTAGAAGAAGCAAAGGAGTAGCAGTAGAAAGGCTGCAGAAAGAGTCAGGATCCCAATGGAGGGGGCAAAGAGGATGGGAGGCGGGGTCAGAAAGTGGAGACGTTAGCAGACGACAGAACATAGAGAGCAGGAAAGGATGTGAAAGGAGAACATTTTTAGAGAAGAAAATTTTTCGTTGCGTTCAGGTTTCGAATCTGGGACCTTTTAAATGAGAAGTGTACAGCGTAACCTCTAGACCACGACCCCCCCCCCTTTCCCCAAAGTGTGTGTGTGTACAAACTTACTAAGCTCCTGTACTCGGTAGTGCTTTTTGGGCGGGGCAGTTGTATGAAGAAAAACAGAAGAGGAGAGATGCACACACATTGACATTGTAGGCCAGTGTTCAAAGTTTTTTAAATCTTCAACTAGCCTACAATTTCAACAGACAATGTATAGCTCTTTGCTGTTCGATGAAAGGGTTGCTGTTAAAGGGGGTTTAATATATATTAGGAAAAATCTCGTAATGCAAACTTAGGTTGCTGTTATGTGTAGGTTGCTCCTGTCTGGGGTTGCTGTTAAATATGTTACATACTGGTGAAATCAGGCGTTCATCAAAATGATGAATTCAGAGAAATAGTCATTTTCCAGCTCGGTGGTCAGTTTTTATCAATTTTTTCTTTGGAGGATAAAAAGCTTTCAGATCCATTTAAAAACTCGTTTGTGTGTGGATTTTACGGATAAAAAAGTTGATCAAAGGCACAAAACATGTAAATTTGTAGTCCCCAGGGACACCTAAGCTTTAGAACACACCAAACCTTGGCTGCTATCATCTCACTAATTTTACTTCCGACACCAGGCGACCCCACCTCCTTAAATTGCAGATAGCTCGACTTCTATTCAAGGTAGATAGGTGCTTTTTCATCAAAAATAAGGTCCTTTCAGATTATATCAGTAACGCCCTGTTTCGAAAAACTGACGAGCGCCTGATTCCACCATGTTCTGACACAAATGGTCACCACTGTACAATGTACAGCCACTAGGTCAAGAGTATTGGCAGCACTGTCCTCTCAGTTCCCTGGAGAACATAATATAGGGCTGCTATCTGTTTGGCACGTAAGGAAAGCTTTTCTTTGTCATTTGTAGAAAACTTCTATAAATTTCCTGATAATCTTATGTTACGATCTAGCTACAGAGAGAGAAAAGAGATAGATAGATAGACAGACAGACAGACAGACAGACAGACCGACAGACAAATAGATAGATAGATAGATAGATAGACAGAGAGCGAGAGAGTGTTATACGGAGCGGGGTTGTTTCAGCACGTAAAACACGTATTTACCATTGTCCTTTTTAGTTGTGTGTATGCAAAAGTGCATCTAGCCTTTGTACCATCCACTGCCTTTGTAAACTACCAAGACAAGTTTGTTCTTGTGAGATGAATAAAGATTGTCATTGTCAAAGTACGAAATATTTTCTTTTTAATCATTAGTCATCATCAATGCCTTTCACCCCTGGCAGGGTATAGGTCACATACAAGCTCCTTCCAATTATCTCTGTCCTGGCTCGTTCCAAGTGAGTTTCATCTCTCTCATATCCCTTTCCACACATCTCTTCCATGTTTCCCGTGGCCTACCCCTGCCTCGTGCTCCCTGTGAGTTCCACTGCAGCGACTGTCTTGTGATGTTTCCGCTGGGCTTTCTGAGGGTGTGTCCCATCCATCGCCACTTTCTTAGTCCTATTTCTACTTCTATATCCTTTTGACCTGTCCTTTCCTACAGCTCTTCCTTTCTTATTCTATCCGGCCACTTAAATCATATGATACTCCTCATACATCTGTTGATGAAAGTCTGGACTTTATTCAGTACTATCTTTGTGGCCTTCCAAGTTTCGAAGCCGTAGAGGAGCACAGACTTGAGATTGGAGTCAAATAGTCGAATTTTGGTGGGGGGGGGGGGGGTTGTTGTTGTTGTTTTTCGATGATGTGCATGTACTAATCTTATCTTTTTTGCCTCTGATTCTAGTCTTCTCTGCAGGGACTTGCTCGCCCTGCTAAGAACAGTGTTCGTGCGAAATGTCCCCCAAAAGGCCCATCTGGGAGGGTTTCTACACCTGAAACGGCAGCAAAAAAGAAGGCCCCGCAGTCTATTTGGGCGCATGTGGGGACTAGTGTTGTCCAGGCTCTCGATGGCCTTCCACCTAACAAGGCTGCTGAAGCTGCAGACAAGATCCAGAAGATCGTTAACAAGTACACGGCAGAAGCCAAAGTTTAGTTTTGGTGTACTGTAAAATCTCGGTACAGTAGTACAGACTCCAGACTTATGGTACATTCATCGTTAGAATCAGTTTTCTGAAAACTTGTAAATAATTTGCATGTGTGGGTTTATATGAGTGTTATTATTTCAGCTTGCAAGGAGTCATTTTAGGGAGAAAAAAATAACCTCAAAATAACTACAGTAGACTACGGATGACGGATCTGTTGAAGTCATTGCGGTGAGGAGAAAAAAATTCTCTTATCCGTTTGAAAATGAATTTGGACATAGTTTTCCATCAGAATTATATTTGTATTTGTCTTGAGTGCTCACCTTGTACATACGCGTATAATTGTAATGTCTTTACAGATTTCTTTTACACAACGTATAATTTAGTCTCTTTATCAGTACTCTTCCAGAAAAAGTTACTGTATTTCAGACCCAAGCTTTTAAGTAATATACAAATAAAGGAATAAATACTCGTATATAATAAATACAGTCAAACCAAGTTGTACTACCCCCCCCCCCCCAATTGTACAGCCAGGTTGTGCCATATAACGAAAAGGAACGCCTATATAAACATTGTATTTGCGGCTTTACATCCGCCAACTGTTTTGAGTTGTACGGTGCTTATTAAACTAATGTAAATTTACCCCGATGTACCGCCAGTGAATTGGCCGTCAGAGGTACACTCAGCACACGGCACCCACACAGTGGCTGCTTGATAATCTTTCCATCACTCGTCTCTGCAAGCTTGGCCTATTTCTAGGCGCTTTGTGGTTTTCTTTTGATTTGTGCTGATTATGGAATGCTATTATTTTAAGGCTTTGGCCAATATTTTTTAATGGAATAAAGTTTTAAAGTTGCCTAGAGAAACTTCAAAGGCGCTGCGCCAATTCGGCCTGAGTGCAAAATATCTGGCGTGGCCAGGTATCAGATCAGTGACCTATAGACTGGCGGGCGGCAGTGAGGCTTTAATATTGTGAGGACTCACGCTCAAATAGATCTATACCTAATGGGTCCAAGGTATCCCAAGGACTGACTAGATTTAGGTTTAAAAAAATAGCCCAACTTGTGGTCCCAGCTTCTTTCAATCGGAATTACTTAAAGTTTAGCTCTAGAGCTGTACATGATAATTAGTTGCTACTTATTTACCTGGGCATGGCAATCGTGCCAGACAGAGATGTATGAGGCAAGACTGGCCACGGTTTGCCTCTAGTCTCTACCAGTCTACCACTTGTTAAGATGGCAATCGGTTTCATTATCCCATTATACCGCCAGTCCCGCTGTACCGCCAACTTTATGCTCACCCCAAAGAAGGTGGTCTATAGCGAGGTTTGACTATATTATATTATATATTATATTACATTACACTATAATATATTTTTATAATATCATTCATGTACTGTATTATATATATATAATTGTCATGACTTATATATATATATATATATGTCATGACACAGTGAAATCAGACGCTCAATTTTTGGGCATATCTGCCGTAAGCTGAATAAACGACTTTTAAAAAATTCACAGCAGCTTCAAGATAAAGAGGCTTTTTGTCTGCGTAACCGTTTTAAAAATGCATTATTCTGAAATTTGAATTCTAATTCATTCAAAAATTAGTCACATTTTCACTTTTGATTTTTTCACAAAAGTACGGTAACTGATCAAGCTTTTGATTTAGCAAATTCAAAAAATTGGCCCCAAATATGAAATAAAGACGTTTTGTCATCTTACTGTAGATATGGAGTTACTGGTATAAATATAAATCCTTGCCTTTAATAAAAATTATACTCATCTATCTTGAACAGAAATCAAGATATTCATGATTGAAGGAGGTGTCAGATGTAAAATTAAGGAGAAAATGGCGCCAAAGTTTGGTGATTTCTAAAATGTGAGTGTTCTTAAAAACTGCAAATTTTTACATTCTTCTGTGCCTTTGATCAACATATTTTTAAAAAATTCATACAGAAATCTGTTTTTAAATGGACCAAAAGGTGGTGATCAAAAGTCGAAAAGATTGATAAAAATGGGCAAACGAGCAGAAACACGTTGATTACTTCAATTTCTTTATTTGAAAGGTACATGATTTCACCATGATCCCTCATTTTATATTATATAATACATATATATATACATACATAATATCGTCTTTATCTCTCCTCCTTTTTATGTTTGTTACTCTCTTGTAACATTTCTAATCTTTGACACTTGCATGACCTAATTGTGTTGCAAGTGCCATAAAATGCTTACTAAAACAAATATTATTGTACGTACCTAGTCCTATTGTCCCAGACTCGATGACCTCGAGAAAACAATGACTTATTGACTCCTTCAATGTTGTGCGGGATCTGCCCCAAATTTGAAAATTAAAGAGGAATCATGTTTGAGCATCACAATACTCCAATTTGAATTGAGGAACCCACAATTTGCCTCAGGAAATGCGCCAAATTCCAGTCCTCAAGGATACTTCAAGCTTTTTATTGCAGAGAGTAGGGAGTTGCTGACAGATCTAGATCAAGAGCACAATTTAGGGGTGTTCGAGCAATTTAAGTTGAGAGGATGTCTGTAATAAGCCATTTGTAGCAGAGAGTAAGGTGCGAAATAGGGGAAATGGGGAAAGAGTTTGGGCGTCGGTCTTGACAACGCCAAAGAAGTCTATTCGATGACGTAGCGGCGAACTGGACTTGTCAAAGTCCCCGACTGACAGAATCCCAATGCATGATTTGAAAATGAAGCCACATTACAGTTCTGTCAACCAAGAAAATAACCCTGACCAGTGAGGCAGAGTGGGAATTTCCTGCGATCTGTTTGTTTTTATAATGGGTCTCATTTCTAGTAACTGGAAAATTAATAACAGGAATTTTGTAAAATGGGCAACAGAAAAAGACGAGATGCTATTAATGAGAGAGACTTGCACGATAAAAGAGCAGTATAGTGGGTTGATTTAAGCTCCTAGGGTGTCATAGAGCCATTTTGGTTCTGAGATAAAGATGGAGCCACACACTCTGTCATTGCAGACTTATTATTTGAATGTATTTTATCAGGTCTGGGGCTCCATGGCGCGGTCTTACAGTTATGGGGAAAGAGGTAAGCAGTGGTTGATGCAGGATGGGGCAGTACTTCACACAGCAGAAAGTGTTTTGACCTGGCTGGAGGGACAACTTGGAAATCGTGTCATCAGTCGCTTAACAGTAACAGCGCTCACGGGCACCACACAGTCCAGTTTTGAAACCATCAGACTTTTTAAAAAAAACAACGTTTCTCTCTTTAGGGTAATCTCAAATTTAAGATCAAATCCAAACCTTTCAGCAACTCAGAAATCAATTCTTGGAGTTTGTGAAAGATGCCACGCCACAGCAGTGTAAGAACGCTACACAATATTTCTTAGTGAGAATACGGACGGAAATGTATTGCGCGTGATGAGGGCTATGTGGAGCATCTTTTGTAAAGCTCAGGTCTATTGCAGATTCCTTTTTCGTGTAACTATGTGCCCGGATGATTCTGTCTTATTTTTAGCAAAGGACTTTGCCGTACGTTAAGCCGCTTTTATTTTATTTAACTTTTATTGGCTGTCATCGATTTTGGGTCGCCCTGTATCTATATGGCCGTAATACGAATTTTTATTTCTTTGACTATGTTTCATCGCAGGAATTTGCAATATTTGGACAGGTACTTCATATGTATCTCAATTTGCAATTCCAAATTCCTCTTAATCACCACATGGAATGGAATTATGTATTTGTACATGATGTGTCTGAAATTTACAATTCTAAATATTCCTCTTTATCATAAAATTGTATCCTTTTGAAATCACATTTTTTAGATCATGAACACTGTCATTCTTTTTTACGTCAGTACATGCACTTTTAAAATAAAGAAAATAAAATTTGTTAGTCGGTCTGTTTGTTTATCTGTTTGTTTATAAATCTCAGTACATTGTCAAAGTTGAATGATTGCCCACCACTCAGAGCTTGTTTTTCTGTCATCTGCTTACGTCTCCACTTTCGGCCCCACTCCTCCACCCCTGCCCCCTCCTCTGGGCTCCTGGCTCTTTCTGCCGCCTTTCTAATACTGTCATACAGAAATTTAAAGACAAAGAAATAACGACGTAATTATGAATTTCTCCAGACTACTAAGCTGTTGCCTACAGCATACTGCCAGTTTCATGAATTTTAAAAAGAGATGTTCTCAATTCAAGCTAAGGCATTTCACAGAAGTTTATCCTTTAGAGACCGTTCAAAAATGACGTCAGCTAAAATTTGACAAAAAATGACACCCCTCCCTCCTTGTCAACTTCTGTCATCTTTCCCAGCTCTCTTTCTCCCTCTCACACACAAACACACACACACACTCTCTCTCTCTCTCTCTCTCTCTCTCTCTCTCTCTCTCTCTCTCTCTCTCTCTCTCTCTCTCCCCTCT